GAGAGGATAACCTTTTTAATGCTTGGTTTAATGCTTTGCCATGAGCGCTTTTAAACAATAATGTAAGTGTTTCTGACGTGCAGCCATTTAATGAAGCATTTGCTTTATACACTTTGAAAACTTTGTCTCTTCAGCACATTCACACGTTGTCATCTGGCCCATTTAATTTTCTGTGCTAGRCRTAAAAAATAAAATAAAATCAGCAAGAAATCCGAAGCAAATGCTGCGAACGTTTGTGTTCTTACAACACAGCCCTGGATCATGTCTTGAATAGTCAAGTACTGAAGTGTCCTCTGATGAACCCAATTTTATATTTAAAGATCCATATTTCATACTCTTATCTCATCTGCATGTTGTCATGGACATACTCTTTTTATTCTGTGTTTACTTTTCTTTAGTTAAGAAAACATGTCAGAGTTATTTGTCTGCCATGTCAGATTATCTGCCTCCTTTTTTAGTTTTATTTTTAACAGGAAACACAGAGTAACTGAGTCTTTTTATAAGCTTAGATAACGTCAGGCCACCAAAGAACCAAGTTTTTTTTCTCTAATTGTCTGAGACTCAATCCATGTGTTCTTCCTTTGTAGATGAATATCATTCATTTCTACTTTTGTCAGTTAGTGCATTTAAATTTTTTTTGAACATCGAAATGAAATGTAAGTAAAACAACACAAAAAAATTCTAAAACAAAATTTTGAGTTTGCATTTTTCGTTATGACTGCCTGTATAAGTGATCAACTTGGGATTTTCAGGAAGTACAGATGGACAGTTTGTCCCAACTTCCAATTGGCTTAGTGTTTATGACAAGCTGCCTTCCTTCTTCCGCTGTCTTATCGGTCATCTGTCCTCTGATCAGCGCGGCACTTTGGTTGCATGCCAAGTGCGTCACAGTGAGCATCACAATGTCTGAAAATCACTGCAATTTGAAACAAAAATTAGAGGCCTTTTGAAGTATCAAGAGAAGCATTCAGTATTGCTTCAACCACATTATTTTAACATCTGTGACAGTTTTTATTTAACGTTACTCCTGCATGAKACACAACATAGCTGGAACTTTCTTTTATTGTTGATTTTCCAAATGAGGCCATGTGATTAGAACAAAYGCACATGCAGACTTTTTGCCCTTGCTCAATGTGTCCTTTTGTTCTGTGTGAAATCCTRTTCAAAATGAGTCTGAGCAGGTTAAATAGTTTTGAACTTTTTATGGCAGCACAACTCTCTGCTTTGTGAAGTTTTTTTTTTTCTTTCTCTTTACCAGAGAAAGAATTCCATCTCCTGCCGTGTGTTTTTCTAATCTGAGCTTCTCACTTCTATAATCTTGGTGCACAGAACAGCCRTTGGTTCGAGGGGCTTCATCTCTTACACTAACAGAGCTTTCCTTACAATATATAAACAGTGTTCGGGGGTTTAACACCCTCCACTAAAGAGAGGGATAACACCTGACACTAGCTTGTTCTCATTTTCCTAAGAGAGAACACTAGTAGGTGTTTAAAAGGCTTAATGTTTGGGTTTGAATTTGTTTTTTTTAGTTCATTTTAGATTTTTGATGTATTTAAGGGACAGTAATAAAGGCAGAAGGCTAATAGGTGATTTTTTTTATGACTGTCCTTTATAAACTAACAACTTTTTTATTATTTATGCATCTCTATTTCCTTCAAMTACTTTACAGTCTCGCACTGTTTTACACCAACGAGTATTCAAAATCAGTCTTTTATCAATGGCCTGTTAGCTAAACAGACATGCACATTTCTTTGTCTGCCAGAGCAGACTGTATGTCTGTCACAAAGATTTAAGACTATTCCCTCGAGAGTTTTACTTTGATATTCACATGAATGTGAATGGCTCACGATGAAGGAGATCTGGCTTTAAAAACGTGAGTTGTGGTGCAAATGGAGTCGACATTTGTGGTTTAATATCTCTACGTGTTGATTCAAAATATGGTGTAAATTTGCAGGATGGTGTAAAAATGACCCTCCACTGAAAGGTGAATGCAGACAGTGATGTGTGTGTGGTTTTTTGTGTGTGTGTGTGTGTGTGTGTGTGTACTTGTATTTGTTACTGTGTATACCATTTCTGAAATACACACCTACCTTGTCAAGACCAAAAACCTGTCCTAATGTGGTGGAACTCTCTTTTTGGGTTGGGGTTTATGTTTAGGTATGTACTGGGGGTTAGGTTTAGGGTTAGGTATATAGATACTAGGGTCAGGGTTAGGCAATAGAATCAAGAATCGTTTATTGTCATTCATACACAACATCAAGATGCAATGTAGAAYGAAATTTGTAGTTTAGAACATCCGTCCGGAGAAACACACACACATGACAGACACGGGGGAATGAATGTCCAGGGCCTTGCGCAACATAGTGCATTACCTTTGCAGTTTAGATTACACACACAGGAAGGATGAGTTTAAAAAAAAGCTTTGATCCTGTGTTTTATACAGAAACGCACGAGCATGCGCACAAAAAAAGCACTCTATGACAGGAGCAGATAAGCAGGGGGAGGGAAGGGGGAAGGGATGCAGAGGAGCTGGTGACATCCAGGGCAAAGTGCCGGGACAAAATTAGAGACCTTCAGAGTCCAACCAGCTGTTATCAGTCAGCACAGTTCACCAGAGGGTTTCTCTGTTACACCCCACGTGGCCTCCAGACCAGGTCCAGACTAGGGTTGGGTATAATCGTATTGTGTGTGATTAATCGTCAGAAAAACGTTAATCGATTAATTTTTTGGCACTTGACAATTAATACGATTAATGCCAACAGGTAGAATCCGCTCGCTGCTCCTCTCAGCTTCATATATGACGAACATTTTAAAAAAGTTCTGTAACTTATTTATCCATCAACACAATTTAAAATTTGATGTATAGCCTGAAGTCTGTAATTTTGACACAATTTGGAACAGATTTTTATGAAGAGCAAATCTTTCCCACTAAATTGGTCAAGTGACTATGAAATAAGGGTGTCCAGGGACTCCAGGGGATTAATCGTCAAATTAATCGTTATCGGCTAAAAACCACAATTAATCGTGATTTATTTTTTTGCCAATATTGCCCAACCCTAGCCCAGACACAGGTGGGGCTTGGGGGAAGGGAGGGGGTGAGGATCAAGGCTTCCTCCTCCACACATATCATCCAGGGAGTTTTATCAGCCTGTGAACAAGGTCACATTTGTGGGGATCCAATGATAGCAATAAATTATTTAGAGCAAACAGCAGACTTTTCCTCCATTGCTTTAAAGTCTTTACTGTGCCTCTGTGTTGCGAAAATGCCAATATTCCAGGTTCGTTACCATCTCGCCTCTCCCGTATGAACTTCACCCAGATGTTGCCTTTACTTCTCACGCCGCTGGGCTGCAGTCCTAGTCAGAACCGCATCCAGTTTGCGATTCAACTCTCCCATCATTTGAGTCTGTGCATTCACCATACGAGAGATTCCATACAGGGACACAGACAGCTTCTCATAGGCYCGGACTGCCGTCAGTGTCGTTCTCATTTTTCGATAAACCAGAACTCGTCCACAGCCGATCAGCAGGAATCCGATTATCATAGATCCAAATCCAAGTATAAAAACATCTTCAATGGAAAGAGGTGCCAGGCAGATCAGGTTGCCTCATATTCACCTCATGCTGAGCCTATTGTTAAAGAGTGATTTGTTTGGCACATTTGCCTGTCAGTGTGCCCCAGGGCAGCTGTGGCTACAATTGTACGTAGTTTGTCATCATCAGTGTGTGAATGTGTGTGTGCATGTGTAAATGTCTGCAGTGTAAAGCGTTTTGAGTGTCCTGGATGGATAGAAAGGCCCTATATAAGTACAGTCCATTTACCATTTGCCAAAAATAAAAAAAAGAATTCCTACCACGTCTATAATCCGACATCACTCCATGTTTATTTACATTTTGTGAAGAAGGAAGTTGCCCTCATTTTCTTCTTCAGAGGTTTTGATGTTGTTTCCTTTAGTGGTTCTTGGTGAAGCACCACCACAGGCAATGGGGTAAACTGGTTTTTCATAGGATTTAGTTCATTTGATGTAGTGCAGTGTGAAAGCAAACCACACCAGATGAAAATGTAAACAAATCTTGCAATTTAGATCTCCATTCGAACCGAGTCTACGAGACTATTGGGTGTGAAAGCAACCTTTTTAAATTAGGTAAGTTTTCTTTTTGTAAAGTAAGACGTTGGTGCGTCGTGAGTGTCTAAAGCAGTATCTTTTAATCATCATCATATTTATTTCACGGAGGTTTGCGTTTATGGATGAGCTTTATAATCCATAAGAACATGGGCTGCAATGCATCCTCGAACCTTCAATTTCCAAATGATAGAGGTACATGAGAATTCTCCTCGGACAACAGATATGTATTTTACATCAACAGAGCTTCCACAGTTTGAAGGACTTGCAGATGTGTTGGAGTGACTTCAGGCCTCCATCTAGCATACTGTAACAGCTTGGGAAGTTCTTACCAGCTCGGAAAACATCTTGAAAACCTTCACAGCTCTTGGCAGTGCTTATTTGGTTTACAGAAGGCTTTTGAGATGTTTTTATTTTGGTGTTTTAGTACAAATAATTTTTCAAAATTTTGAAAATTATTAGGAGGAAGAACATTGCGTTCTTTTCCAAAGTGAGAAATYAACACTATTTGGCACAAGTGTGCCATGAATTACACCATTTCTGGCTACTGTAAAAACAAATGGGCAATTTTATTCTTATTTTTTTCATGATATTCATCAATTTGTTTTACGGAAGCGGTGTCCAATCTCCAGGATTACAGAAAATTGCTTGGAACATTTTATTCCACTGCTGCCAATCAAGAATATCACAAACTGTTCCAAACACAATATCCAGAAAAATAAACATCCACCAAAAACACTTTTCTGTTTGAGGATACTGTAACACTTGGAGGACCTAATAATCAGGGTGTAATTTGGTCTAGTTGGGATTATATTAAAGAAACAAGTGTCTGTGTGGTTTCATAAATGTGTTTTTCTTTTTCTCTGTCTCACTCTAGCTGCCTCTGAGGGGAGAGTTAACGGCGGGGAGGATTTCTTTCAGAAGGTGAGTGTGTAGTCTGCTCTTGGCTTACATTTTGCTTTGTCTTTGGTTTGTGTTCAGACTGACTGAGGAGCACTTTTCTCCTGGTAAGTGAGCAGCTGTCAGGTGCTCGTCCACTCGCTTCTAATTACACATCCAAACAAATAAAAAACAAAGGAACTTCACTGACGTTAAAACACCTCCAGGACTCTGGTACCAAAACACAGCTGACATAACACTTGTGCTCTTTCTCACTTGCATAATGTACCATGACTTACTGATTATAAATGGAGTTTAGAGGGATGTTAAACACGGGTCCAATCAGAATGCAGTTTCTTTTTTTAAATTTAGATATTTTATTCTACACTGTTGTTTCTTATAGATTCGAGGATTAAAAACAAAGCGTTTAACAAATACAATTTTTGTTCTTATGATCATTCAATTTTGCCTTATTTTTTTCGCCCTGTTATAGTTGGCAATATAAGCATTCAGCATTAATAACTGTTTGATCGTTTGAACAGCACTGTTCAAACGATCTGACCCAACCACTCGTTTTTTATGTTTTCAAGAACTCTAGTTTAAATTATTTTATTTTTTGTTCTTTTAATTGGTCTTTTTAGACTGGGCACTTCAGGGTTCCTGATGTGTTTTTTTTTTTATTTTTTGTAGCTTTCTTCAGAAAGGACAGTGATCATTTTGAAAAGAAGCCTAAACTTGAGAAGTTTTATTGTCTGTATGTTACRAGAGATTAAAGACAGACACAGACAGAAACATTGTCCTCCGTCTTTGGTAGTGGATGATAATGTCAATTTATTTAATTAGCACAGAAAATATCTAAAGTTGACCAAAATGCTTCACAATTCAGCCAAATGAACAGATAAAACAATTCAAAACACAGAAATGTTAAAAAAATAAGTTCAATTAATATAAAATACAGAAATGCAACATAGAAACATTGGCTCTAAAATAATCAAATGCTACCCTAATCAAAAGCCAGTCTTATGCTTAGACTTAAACGTTTCAATGGTCTCAGCAGTCCAAATACAAAAAGATAAACCATTCCACAGGTTTGGTGCAGAAACTGCAAAAGCCCTAGCCTGGTAAAAACCAGCCCCTTGTTCTTTGCTTTGCTCCGTACAGAGGGTCTGGACTCTCGGCTATTGAGAAGCAATTTTTTTCTGGAGGCATGTAYTCTGTTGAAGTTTAAAACAATTGGACCTGATTTACCCAATTGCTAACGGTAGGCTGCTACGTATATAGTGCATCAGCTAGACCGTGGAGGAGGCTAACCGGAAATTACGTAAACAACCCTACTGAGATGAGAGAAGTGCCGAGCGAGACGACTGTAAATGAGAGCTGCAGGCTTTGTCAGGCAAATTTAGTTTCATTTGGAAGCATTAGCAACACGGACTGGCTTCATTCACTTCCTCCACTGCCATTGCTAAACTACAAGTTGACACTGCGCAGAAAATTGACGTCGTTCAGAACACCTCCTTCTGTTTGCTGATTGGCCCAGGTAAAATTCTACAGAAGAAATCCTTGTCTATGGGAGAAATCCCAGATGGAGCAGTAAAGGGAAACTAGAATGTAGCGGAACTGTGTGGGAAGGCAAGGGCCAGGCTACAAAAGCCCGGTCACCTCTGAATTTTAGCTTAAATCTAGGAACATCAGAGAAACTGGCTGGATAACCAAAGTGCTCTGACCGGAATGTGGATGTTAGGGAGATCACAAAGATACGATGGAGTAGACTTTAGAACTTTAAAAGTAAGCAGTAAGTCTTAAAATCTACCCTAAAGTGAACAGGAAGCCAGAACTGGAGACCTGTTTATGTTTTTTTTTTTTTTTTTTTGTACCTGTTAAAAGACCAGCTGCTGCATTCTGACAACTTGTAAG